GCGTCAGCAACACCGTATGAAGACTTCTAGCCTTTGGAATCCTATGGGAGTGGACTATGCGATTAATGTAGTACCTTCTTGAATATAATGATAACAATATTATTCTAAAACTGAAACAACTCTTTGATGAATAGGATTCGATAGTGTGAATCATCGTAGTCTTTCTGAAGAACGTCGCCAGCTGTCGCCTGTCGTCTTGTTGATCGCCGAGTGACTCGTGCGGGTGCCAATAAATATAGTTCTTCCTATCGCATGCAAGAGTAGCACAATAGGTTCTCCTCGCTCAAGGGACTTCCTGAGCATCATACTTCTCGATAAGAACTCTGAGCGCCGGGTCGGTGGACTTTCTGCTGTGCATCTGACATCCTCAAGAATCCAGTGGCTAACGACTCTTATCAGTCGGTTGTCGTTCATACGCACTATTTGCTCACCTTATCTTCGACGATGGCGTATAGAATTGCGTCTTCGATTATTGATCGCTGACGTTGATTAGAGATGTGGATCCCATCCCTTAGTTGTGTGAAATGGGATACTCCTAGCATCGTCCTTTCGACTGCGCGTCCGATAACCTTCAGTGATCTTTCACCGTGCTTACGCAGCGACCAAGTTTCTGACGCATATGTTAGGGCAGGAAGTACCGTTGAGTGGAAAAGGTGGGCACGGAGTCGGCTGTTCTTTGTTCTCTTCACTAAATCCTCGATGTTCTTGAAAGCTCCCCAAGCCTTTCGTTTCCTTCTGCTCAACTCTGGAGCTCAATTGTTCATCATGTTGATTTCCCGACCTAGATAGATATAACTGGAGAATTCGAAGACATTAGTTCCATTGAGCGTGAATGGGGCATGCGAAACCAATCCGTTCTTCATGAACATCGTTTTTGTGAGATTTAGTCGAAGGCAAATCTTTCCACAGGCTTTTTCAAAGTCGGCAAGCATACGTTCCGCTTCGCTAATGCTTGGTGTTATAAGGGCGATGTCATCAGCAAAACGAAGATGGTGCAACAGCCGACCATCGATTTTCACTTCCATATTATCCCATTCCAATGTTCGCATGACGTTTTCGAGTGTGGCGGTAAATAATTTTGGCGAGATGGTATCGCCTTGCCTAACTCCTCTTTTGATGTCAATGTTAATATCGCTGCAGAATGGTGATATCTTGGCTGTGTTTTTGAATTTAGCGGCTTTTTCTCCTTCCACGAGAAAGGTCTGTTAGCTACACCTGCAAATGCTGTAGTTTCCTATGTGCAATATGAATCCTTATGAAGACGAGTCGCTCGACCGAGTGAACCAGCGATGTTCTGTTGACGACTGCATGAGACGAGAGTGTAGATTAGCGATTCAAATGGCTTACAGTCTCCCAATTTCGACCAACTCTCGAAATATCTCAAGAGCGGTGCTCTCTTTGTGACCACGACCATCCTGGAGCCATTGATTCGAGTCAAAGCGGCCCTGGGGAATGCAAACGCGCCGAAGTGTTTATTGAGCAAAAGTCTTTTATACCAAATTCGTGTCAGCTCAATGACGTAAAAGAAAATTCTCCAGATGTTTTCCAATCAAAGCAATTCAGAGTCAGCTTAAAGGAGATGTTTGGACAATGGCGATTGAGCTCGTTGTTAAGTGCGACACCGCAACTGAAATGCAATTGCGCGTCACAAATGAGTGTCTCCCCATAGTCACAGAGGAATTCACTAAGCAGATATTCAGAGTTTATTAAAAGTTTATAATTTCGTTGAGATAGAATTGGAGGGAGTTGCAGTAGTAATCATACTGATATGCTGCTAGTTGAAGGACATGAGGAAAAGACAAAAAATTCAAGTACTCAAATAATTATTTGTAACATATCCCAAACGCAGTGTTATCTGCTCATTGCAGTTCACCACGAACTTGGACGATTTCTAAGAGAACTCCGCCTGTGCTTTGAAGCGACAATTCTTGTGCTAAAAGCCGCTGGCTTTCGTGGAAATGGCCGACATAGATAAGCCAACCCTTATCTCCGCTTACAGAGTACTTTAGCAAATCCTCTGCGGACGCAGAAGCGGTGTGATTCGGTGGTATTGACTGAATCTGCTGCGCCAGAGTTAACAAACTTGTGAAAAATCCACCACGATCTGAGATTTCGATATCAGCTGAACAAAAGAACAACTGTTCAGAAGTGGCGTTACCAGTTCATGAGTGGTGAGATCCGACTTTGCAATGAAGGCGTTCCAGAAGCCTTCTTCATCATCCTGGCAATGGAATTCCTGAGCCTAGTTGGTATTTGAACGAGGCGACATTTCTTGCGAATGCACCGCGTTAGAGAATTCTCTGTAGATGACGTAATAATGAAAGCTCGCTTTGTTTAATTGGAGCAACGGAAGTGCAGTTTATGCTATAAGACGACGTAAATACCATCGGATCCTTCCAGAACATCTCCGTGTGTCCTAATCCAGACCGCATTACTTCTTCATAATTATCTGCATCTATCTGTAGAAAAAGTTGTACGAATAACTTTGAACTGCTGAATCACAACTTAATAGTTGCAGTTTTATTTCTAAGCACGTTTTTCACTGTTAAGCATTCCTTGACTAATTTGCTCCAACGTTTTAATAAACGACAACATGTCTCATAGGGAAGTTTCCTTCTAAAAATCTTCCAAAGCCAACTGCTTTCTCCCTAGAGTTGCCATTTATGTTGTTTACGTCGTTGTTGAAGAATGGAGTACTCCCACGACTCACTATTCCCTTTTATCACACACTTGTAACCCACATCTCCCATATTCGTTTTTTTTTTCCGAAACTGTAATGTTTATAAATGCGTGGCTTTCTTGTTCAGCAATCATCAATCATCAACCATATGCCTAAGTTAACCTAGACTCTAATCAGCTGTTCTTTTCTTCCTCGATGGAAGACGCGTTCAAAAACGGCTCTGAAGACGGCGATACTGCCGAAACGTCAGCCAATGCTGTGTTCTGTATGTTCTTCTATAGAAGCACAGGTGTGCTGTAAAACAACCGAGTGATTGCCGAACCAGATAACGACGCATTTATATTCCAATGGCGTGGTTTATAGAAAGTCGATCCTGGGAACTGTAATGTTTATCAGAAATTCCTAGTTCTATTTTATTCTATATTGATACTAGCAAATGTCTTTTATTGAAGACATTTCTACCTGCGTAATGTCCTCTACGGCATATTCATATAGGGAAAATTTTTCAAATTTTTTTGCTCTATTGTGAGCCGAATGGTGCCCACGTCCAGTTTTGTACGATGGCCAAATAAAAACAGAACGGCGACCAATTAGCACGTGCTATCGCTGTGGGTTACATGTGACGCACCTCGTCCTGTTTATCGGGAACCGCGTGCATCTTATGCTACGCACTTCGTCACTCATGTGTTATTACTATCTTTAACGCTTATTGTCATTACTTACATTGTTGTTATATTCTTTATTACACTTGTATTAGTCTGCATACTACCACTGTTACAGCTGCCCCATCTTATTCCGTTCCGACAACTGCTGATAATTTTCAGATGACTACGGAACTTGAGGAAACGAGCTTCACAAGCTTGTAGAAGAGACGTTTTCTTCTGCAACTCTCCTTTATTGAATCCCAATCACTCTTAATCTTAAAATCCGTTTGGAATTTAAATCTCTAAAGATTACAACACTGAAGTCCAAAGATAGCGAAACGAAAACTGTCTTGTGCGCACTACGAAAGTATTGTTTCAAATTGATACTGCGAGGAAATTTTTATATCATTGACAAAGGTTTGTAGATTTTAATGTTTTTTTACTGAAATTAATGAAGTTCACCATGAATTAAGAGATGCTTGTTTAAAATTAAAGGCCCAATTATTCCCGGCAATATGCGAACTAGGGCGCGTGTGGCGCAGTGGTACGAGGCACCCTGCAAATACAAACGTGGAATCGATGCCCGCACCCATGGCCCACCAAGCCTTTCTTCCCCTCCTGGGTGGGCAAATTGGTACCAGACTTGTTTGAAAGGATAGCAGCACTGGATCGGTACATTGGTAGGCCACCACAAGTCATTCTAAAGTCCAGATATGCATTCAATCCTCCAAACGATGGTTAATGAAGTCGAATGCATGGCGCGTCCCTCAGAGACTGATCAATGCCGACAGCTCTATCCTTTTTTATGCAAAGTTGATGCGCATCGTTACAACTGCGTTAAACAGGAAGAAAAACTGATTCAAACCACTCATAACGCAAGTTGAGCTAGTCACACTAACCAACAGCTGCTTCTTTGGACTACCAAGAGAATGGCTAACGTGCGATCTATGCTGTGACCTTACTGCGCTTTCGTCTAACGAATTCTGCTCATATTGGCATTTTTCCATAGTACAAAGATCGTTATGCTATAAGAATATAACCAAGGAAGCGGCTATCAAATACCATTGTATGCCTTACGCTTGTTCGTCCGTCCTTCCTCAAAGCAACTAGTCAGCCGTAAATTTTTGAACTCAACAGAGAAGGAATCAGGGAAACAGGAAAAAAGGAATCAAAACCTAAGGCACTTTTAGCTATAGTTTGTATCAGCTCACCGTCACTAAGTTGTGGACATGACGTACTGACACATTCGTTGGAAGGTTTACTTGAAATATCAAGAGAATTGACTTTTTTTGTTTATATTTTACTAACTTTTCATACGCCATTCCTTCATAGCTTCTTAACTTATACTGGAGAACAAAGTCAAGAAAAAAACAGCTGTTCAATCTCAACGCTTGGTATGTGTCCCTGAAAGGAAATAAGGGAATTCCTTCTAATTAACAACAGCACTTTTATTACATGAAGTGGAAAAAATAACAAATGATTACACTGCGGCAATTCTTCACTCTTAATAAAACACCGTCAACAACAGTAGAACGTATAAATAGCTAAGAAAGATGCCGACAGATAATAATAAAGCCGTAGCAACAATATGAGTAGGTTTGACCAAATGGACAAGAAGAGGTTCAATTCGGCGACGTAAATCGTCTACTTCACAACGACGAACTCCAAAACGCTGTTTAGAACGCATATCGCGTACGAATATCCTCAAGCTTCTTTGAAATCTGCAAACGTTATTAGTGTACGATATAAAGTGTATTCCCTTATAGGAATTCTATGGAACAAGGACAAGAAAATACATAGGTGAAACAATGAGCTTCGCAGTATTAAACGTATAATGGTTAGTAGCATACTTACATTACGAACTATGTGCTATGAGAACTGTTCATGCAGCTGCATCCCCACATTATATTCACTTAATATCCATATTCACTTATTTATTGCCTTTTTGTTTATCCATTTTTTATCGTAAAAGTGTAAGAATAATGAATTTAGAACAACAATTATTTAACTTTTTAACCGCCTATTCTTTTTCCATGGCAGGGAATTATGTGGAACACAACAATAACGAAACTGTGATATGCTCAAAATTCGGAACCTTAGGTGGACTTCGGACCCTCGGTTGCTCTTTCCCGGGGCTCACGTGCTATCCACCACACCACCCAAGGTCCTAGCTGATTTCAACTGCAGCTTCAATTTAACAAGGCTCAATGCCGATTTGTGTCACCAGGTCACTCCCCTTGACCGGTTATTGCAGATAACACCAATTAGAGGCCTCGGTTGGTATGGTGGAATGCTAGTAAGTCCCGGTACGGATAGTCGCAGATGCGAAGTCCAACAGTTTTCAGGATTACTCATATCTCAACAATTATTTAGTTCAATGACAGCCACAACTTTCTTCGTTTGAATTTATTTTCTTAAATAATTTTCGTGATATAATTACACTTGTGTAAAATTAAATAAACAATTAAGGAAATATTAAGTAAACAACAACACTTCTTACAACGCAAGTACACGATCTCCCTTTTATATCGTGCAATATAACTGGAGTCTGAGGTATCTAAAAAATATTGCAGACTTGGAAAAAGGGCACATATTAGGTGAAAAATGATATAACAAAGCATGATAAAGAAGTAACACAGAAGTGTAACAAAACATAGACAGAAGTACCTCGCTAATAGTGCGATCCAGACCTTCGGTGACTTCTCGCTGAGCAGCCGCGTCCATCAAACCAAACTGTTCACAAAGATCGCCGTCAATCACATTCTGTAAACGGTAAAATAATAACAACGAGACGATAAAAGCGATCAAGAGGTAACAATGGATATTTAAAGTGGATTCCTATTGGAATTTCGAGTTTTAAAACGAATGAGCACCCTCCTATTCACGTTTGAGGCAAATCCGGAAAAGCGGAGTCTGATGACAAACCTTGCAAGGATGATAATAAGATCTGAATGCGAGGTGATCTCGACCACACAGTGGAGGAAAGTTGGCGCGTACGTGCATTTCAAGATTTTGGAAGAAATCATACTCCTGAAAACAAGAAACCCTTGAAATGAAACAGAAAAACATGAACTTGAAGCGAACGTAGAAACACTAATAATTTGTTTTCCTTTGATATTTCCACACATTCCAATCGCACTAATGCTTCCATGACAACATCACTGTNGGAAATATTAAGTAAACAACAACACTTCTTACAACGCAAGTACACGATCTCCCTTTTATATCGTGCAATATAACTGGAGTCTGAGGTATCTAAAAAATATTGCAGACTTGGAAAAAGGGCACATATTAGGTGAAAAATGATATAACAAAGCATGATAAAGAAGTAACACAGAAGTGTAACAAAACATAGACAGAAGTACCTCGCTAATAGTGCGATCCAGACCTTCGGTGACTTCTCGCTGAGCAGCCGCGTCCATCAAACCAAACTGTTCACAAAGATCGCCGTCAATCACATTCTGTAAACGGTAAAATAATAACAACGAGACGATAAAAGCGATCAAGAGGTAACAATGGATATTTAAAGTGGATTCCCATTGGAATTTCGAGTTTTAAAACGAATGAGCACCCTCCTATTCACGTTTGAGGCAAATCCGGAAAAGCGGAGTCTGATGACAAACCTTGCAAGGATGATAATAAGATCTGAATGCGAGGTGATCTCGACCACACAGTGGAGGAAAGTTGGCGCGTACGTGCATTTCAAGATTTTGGAAGAAATCATACTCCTGAAAACAAGAAACCCTTGAAATGAAACAGAAAAACATGAACTTGAAGCGAACGTAGAAACACTAATAATTTGTTTTCCTTTGATATTTCCACACATTCCAATCGCACTAATGCTTCCATGACAACATCACTGTTAGCGCAGATATTAGGTGTTAATTCCCAAGACCGGCTTTCTGTTAACCTCGGCATTGATTGATAATTCGATGTTTTTCTTCAATAAGTATAAGTATATAAGTATAATAAGTAATAACTGCCAGTTATCGCCCCCTCTGTGCGGCTGGTATCCACCAACTAACTTAAATACTCACAACAAATAAACGGCTCTAAAGAAGGCGAAACCGCCGAAACGTCAGCTATTGTATCCTAATAAATTCTAAAATAACAACCTCGTGTCTGTTTATTGAAGAAAAACATCGAATTATTAGATGTTAGTTCCATCTTTCATAGTTTTTGATTTCTCTGAGGAACAACATCAACGTACTATAATTTCAACGTGCTATTTATGGGCTCCAAAGAAAATTATCTCCATTTAGCATTATCGATTCCAGCCATTAAAAGACTAGTTCTAGCACAATGGTATTTAAGGTGTTCCAATCGTTGTAAGGCCAACACAATTCTAAATCAAAGTCGAATCGCTGCGTGTAAGAAGGGGCTCCTAATTCGATAACAGAAAAACGACTATGCTGAAGAAAAAGAGTTAGATGCATTCTCGACAAGAATCTTTGCCTTGTTAGTAAAGCACCCACTGCAAAGATTTCTGTCGATTTTACCACTTCTTGCTCGCCCGTTTATGGCAGAATTCTTTGGTGCAGACTTCAAAAGCGAAGATGACGATTTCAAATCTCTTACATCAAAAGTTACCTTCCAACTCGATGTGGTGGCTAGGTTGAAGCCAATATCAACTTCATTGCACTCCACAGATTTTCGAGTCATGAATGGTAGCAAACATTCTTGTTGCCCAGGATGAGGATGAGGAACGCATAGCGGAGTGTGGAAGAACAGGGGAAGAGAGAGGGAAAAGCGACAACGAGAAACTATGGAGATCGATGAGTTCTGTGTACATATATACGTATGTACTCGTCTGACACAGTATAACATCCACATCGATCTACACTACGCATTGACTCATAACACTGTGTTTTCAATTCAATTTATGGGAAACTGCATTTGAACCGTTACTTCCTCCACACAGCAGATGACGGTGAGTTGACGCAGACGCGCTCCGATTTCAACACAATTCGTCACAAAATTGCCAAACTGTCTCTGGAGAACTTCTTTGAAAGTTTAAGCGTCAACACCAGAGTGTTTACGAAAAACAATGGTTTACAAGTGCTTTCAGAAAGTGTAGTAAAAGGCAAGTTAACCTGATCCATTTTGTTCATTGTACCTTCTGATTACAGCATCATCAAATCACTTGCCTGTTATAACGATTCCTAAATTCTTCGCCTAGAATAATCTCTACAACAGAACAGAATATGGCTGGATCAGTGTCAGATAGTCTTTTTCAACTGTCTATTAGCCGACCGAAAAACGTTGGACCATTTCTGAAGCTATGCCACTTCATCTGTCATACTTGCTCACTTGATTTCGTCTTGTTTCTGATACTGGTGTAATTCATAATTTACTCCATGATTTACCGCGCCAAAATAAGAATGGGAAATGTTTGCATTTCCGTGTAGAATTTGCGAAGAATAGCCGCGTGTGAACAGACGTCCTTGTTTTCTACCCCATCACTATAATCCATTATCATAGACGCAATCCCCTAAATGGAGAATAGTGCAGCGCTCCACATCAACTCAATTTTTAGCTCAAAGTCAAAACCACTTTTCCTCCATATATCGTACATAGTTATTGATCCGTTTCTTGAAACTAACAATGCTCCAAAAATACAGATCTATAATTCTTTTGTTGTACATTTACGAGTGAAATTGGGTCATAGTGCCTTTGTGAACCATTTGAGAATTCAGAGAAGACAGCTCTGTTAAGGCGGATTAAAAAACACTCTTGTGCAATAATAAGGAAATATATATTAAGCACCAAAAAACACCTCTTAATCCCTTTTGTCTCTTCATTTTTTTTTTTGATTAGTTCACACACACAACCTTACTGAGTTGGTTCCTTTCCATTTACTTTATATTAACATGCAGCGCATGCGACAAAACGTTTTCTTTTCATTTTATTGTGTCACTCATTCACAAAGGTTGGACTTACGCGTTTATTCGGCCGAAAACTAGGGATCTAAAACATGACGCCACGTGTCAGTTCTTGGAGTTGAATAAACCCATTTATCTCTAGAATAGATGGCTCCACTACCCCTGTAGTGTATGCGAGTTGTCGGCCGTGACGAAGTATCAGGCAAAATGACTCGATGATAAATAGTGGAAGAAAGCTCATAAAATACACTTCATCTTCTTCTTACTGGAATTGGGTAGATATAGGGATTCCTACGTCCACTAAAGTGGTCTTTCTTCTTGAAAAAGGAATTCTCATGAAAGGAACGACACGCAAAAGAATAGCTTCACAAGACGATCGCCATTTTCACAGAGATGTTCTGGTCCAAATTTTCCGATTTCGTAGTCTCAATTTTAAGCAGCTCTTATACCTGCATCAATGTCGCTCGTTTGGGTTGCGAACAAATTCTTCGAGAGCCCCACAAAACTTTTAGAATTTCGTTTTAGTAGTGGCCGTTTTTGATCCGAAGTGCAACGGTTCCATTGTGATTGTTAAGAAAGCTTAGTATTAACTGAATTGGGCTACACATGAGTCGTGATGCAACCCAAATCGTCTAGAAAGTGTCAAATGTTCATTCGTCTTACCATATGTTTTATTTCCTTTCCATTTTTTAGGATAATTTAAGTATATTAGTGATCTCTCTATTTTTTTCAAAAAATTCATTATTTATGTATGGAAAATATTTCATAAATTTAGGCTGTTTTTAGAACAAGTAAAATATGCTACGTGCTAAAGTCCACTTGCTTATAAACTAAGAAGAAACGTTTTTCATTAAGACGTCTAACAATTCGTGGTTTGTATAAGAACTAAGAAGTCTAGTAAATTTAAGACACTTCTGGAAAAATCCTTAATTCGTCGCGAAACGGGTATGAAACGCGATTAGGCCCGTTTGTCTGCAACCAAATGAAACCAATCAACGGACGAAATCTATGAGTTGTCGTCCTCTACGAATAGCGACGAAGTCACAATGCTATATTCAAAATAAACAACACATTCAGAGGTACCGCTGTATCCCGCTATACTACCTCTTGTTCTTATAGACACAAGCCTCAACGGATGAGGAAAAAAAGATTCCTGAGTTCTTGAAGCCAGAAATTTTACTGTAATGGATTAGATAACATTCATTTCTAGCAAGAATGTAAACTGTAGATTATAATGGTATTAAGGCTTGAAGTGAATAATAGACTTTCCAACAAAACCAAGATTTTCACTGTTTTCAAATTTTCAGTTTGCAAATAAATCCAAAATGAAACACGAAAATAACGACGACCTTTAAGAGAAAGAAGCTACTTAATGTATAATACAATAGGAGTTCAAGGCTTAGAACTAAAAAAAAACTTTAAAACAAATTTATGGGAAAGTTGATGAACCAAAAAATTGACATATAACACTTTGGAGCGATAGGGAAGAGTTTTATCTATAAGTGTTTCGTGCCCAGTAGATCCCTTAACTCTTTTCTGTAATACCTAAGAAGTTACAAAATTATACACGGTTTCACAGAAGCTTTTAAAATCAACCTTGCTCAACCCAACGCTAGGACTAAAGCATTGTTTATCCCATTGTCATTTCCTTCCAAACCGCATTTTCAGTGATTTCAATGTCAAACTCCACACTTCAAGCAATCTTTTAGATATAAATAGTGTTCAGTTCTTCTGAAACTCCTTTTTTGCTTATTTTCTTTGTATTAATTCACTAATCGCAAATCGTTCTGTTTCTGAATATCGACAGATATTCGATGCCTTATAAGCATGACTAATTTCAGTCATGCTGGTCTCTTTTAAATCAGTCATCTTTTTCGTAACGTTCGTCACTTACGTCTTTTGATATAAAAGGCACCAAAATTCCAATCGCTCCACCGATTGTTGTATAAATCACACATTCATTAGCTCCCGGCACAAGTGATGTCTTCTGCAGAGACGTAACGAAATCGCCTGTGTAGAATACGGCCACTTGATCAACCTAGGTATGGAAATGCAGTAATTTTTTCACGTAATAAACGACAACAAAGAGCTACTACACAATCGGTCACGTCTACGATGATCTGTGGAGAATATTTGAAAAAATACGCATATAAAGCATTATATATTTAATACATACACATATAGCAGGAATCCCAGCTAAAGGAAGCCAACACCAGGATCCACCACCGTCCCGATACCTAACTAGTAGCTTGGTGGCAAATCTCTCTCTGATCCACAAGAGCGGCGGCTGCCTGGAGTGGTGACGACCTGGGGCAAACTTTGGTTAGGGTGACCTCGGGACTTCGGAAACGCACAGTGGCTAAATCGGCAAAACTCCGAGAAAGTAGAAATTATGCCGAGGTCCGCATTCAGTGAAGATGGGCCATCCAAGTATCCATGTGGTAAGCATGTATATATGTATATATATATATATATATATATATATGTATATATACATAATATATGTACGCATACGTATAGTATGGCATAAATTACATTATATACCAAGCTTAAAATTAATTGCTAAATATTCCTGGAAGATAAAAAAATATGGTTTAAACCACTTAGCTTCACTACGAACAACGGCTACCCCATCGCTTTGTTGTCGCCAACGTAGAAAAATTTTGTCATAATCAAGAATAAAACTTCGCGATCTGTTTTACTTCCCATGAATTGAAACACCAAATCCTGCAAAAAAGCTTGAGCTAGTCACACCTTTTGCGATGCTCCATTCAGCAAGCCACGGTCCCAGAGTGAACGCAATGCAGTAGGATCTTCTTGTATATCTTCGTTAACGTTCTCGGGAAGCCGAAGCTGAAATAACATCTGTTCTCATAATTCAACCTAAAATTTCGGAAAACTTCTGTCAGTTTTATGTTTTACGCAATAAAACACGCTAAGAATTGTTATCATTACCTCCTCCTCGGCTAATACTTTGACGCCTTCGCTTTTTTAGAGCCGAGTCCATTGTTCACAGCGAATTGTGAAGGCGCCGAAACGTTAGCTCGATAAAACTTTTATAACCTCATGTTAGCTCAGTAATCTAAGATAATATTGACTACTCATCCCGCAATGAAAAGAACGTCGCTTTTAGGAAATATTGCTTACTTTGTGCCATTTAATATAATATCGACTTTTGCACGAAGCGTTGCTATTATTGAAACATATCAATAGCATATTGGATGGTAATAGATCAACAACCGTCTTGCACGCCAACAGGTGAGGATCGCGTCGACGAAGACCATACAGCGACAAGCACCGGCAAGACGCCGGAACGTCAGCCGGGTAAAGTTTTTTTTATAACAATCTCGTGTTAGCCAAATAATCTATGACTATATAGAGCAAAATATCTTCTAAAATCGTTTCATTTAACGCTCTGTTATGCTGAAGAAACGGTTTATACTTAACCACGTCAAGAATACTGAGCACTACTCATAGAGTGCCTGGACGATGTCTTCTAAAATCCAACTGGCACAATATCTAGCCGGAATGGAAAGCTCCAATCATCGAATTTTACCTCGTCATCGAGACCCAGGAGAACACATATCGATGGCGAAACAATGATTGACAGGTCATATAATTAGAAGAACAGGCGACAGATGAACGAAAAGAACTATAGCATGGACTCTACGAGGATGCAGGCGCATCCTAGGACGACCACTTACACGTTGGGTGGACGTTTTCTAACTAAAGTCAAACAGCTGTACTTGTCGCTGCAGTTGTTTTACAGATCACGGTATGAAGCTCGCATCTGCCACCGTGCTCAATTCAAACTACCACGAAGATGGCGAGGCAAAGAAACGAATGTGAAGTGTGCTAGGAAAACGAAACAAGCTATAGAAGCTGAGAATTGGGCCTTGCCCTTCAGGAGAACCGCTAAATGCCTTGCGTCGCAAATGTGTTAATGGGTGAGAAAACCCTTATAATATCGAACACTACGCATGGGGGAGGAATGTTGGCCGACATCGAAACGCTTGTGGAAAGATTAGCACTGAACTAAATCGCATGAAATGTTCATGAGAAAAAGAATTGCTTCTGATACCCCATTCACTATTTTTCGGAATAAATATCTCCGAATGTTCCAGCTATGTTTATATAAATCGAGAAGTCATCATGATAGGCGTCTGGGCTTCATTACTGAATAAGAGGAGCTGAGTAGCTTGAAGTGCTTTCAAGAGCATGGGGAAGGCAGTGAAGAGGTCTAGCAACACTTGAATCCGGACCCACCTTCTCGACTCCACGATTCTTCCTGTCTCAACGCACCCGCCGGAAAGTTTTTCGCTGCGTAAGCACGAGTAACTAAGGTCACTTAATCATTCATCATCGAACGAAGGCTCACGAGCGTCGAAAATTCAGTGGGTCGGAGACGTGAGATGCCTTAACGACAGCTGGTGGATAAGAACCCTTAGTGACTGGATTCTTCGTAATGTCAAATGCATACCAGAAAGACTACAAGGTCGATTGTCAGAATTATTCACGAAGATTATAGAAGGATGGATGCTTAGCGATCCCCTAAAGCAAGCAAACTGACCATGACAGAAGCAAATGGAGGCTTTACAGGCACCCGCCCGAATCAGTCGCCAATCAATACTAGCAGTTTTATCTGCTAGGGTTATGAAAGTGTTTGGCTGAGTAGATCACATCTCAATTTGACCTTTCCAGGCTATGGCTTCAATTTTTTACGCCGATGCGGCCTATTTCACCTCTAAGGTGACTCTATGATTTTATGAATGATTGTGAGTTAAGCACGTTTGTGAGAAGACGCTTTTCGACAAAGCAATGAGAAATCTTGTTTAGTCCTCTTATCCACTTCTTGCTAAGATGGAATCTAAATTCTAGTGGTTGAATCAGCAATTCATCAATTCCCAGAGCAAAATGTGCTGTCGACTTTACAATCAACGTAGGACTAGAATTCGCCTCCGCTAACATCGACATGCAACATCGATATCTCATTTGGAAAGAACACCTCAATCGACGTTTGTAATGTGAGCTACTTCCGGGTTAATTTTATTAACAAGGTCGTCGCATTCACCTTTTGAAACTATTCTAGCCGATATACAATTTCTAACACCATAAAGTTTCCATGAATTACATTTTTCGTGTGGTTTATAAAGAAGCAGTTCTAGCTGGTTAATTTCAATAGTTATTCTGAAAGACAGGTCTGTTTCGAATTCCTTGTCAAATACAGATTTAAGAACCTTTGCTTGCTATGTGCTTATTCGAATACTTAGATGGTGTTTTACTGCTGCGTACTTGGATACTAGTACGGTCCGCCTTTACTAGTGCAGACTGCAGAACATGGAATGCTTCATTAGTTTCTTCCGTCTAGTTCGAACATTGTGACGGCCGCCAAGCGTACTCTATGAACTAGAAAACATTCCTATCTGCAGATGGTTGAAATAAGCCACGAACAAGTCCACCCATCCTTTAGGTGGTTGTTCAACAGAACTTTTATACCTACTAGAACTTCACTGTTCTTTTCGTCTATCTGTCATCTGTTTTTCTCATGATATAACCCTGAGATTTGCGCTCAGCATCCGGGATGAGGCCCCAATGTGGTTAACGCTGCTCGTCTTTTGTTTAACTCCTCTTCCATGTTGTTCTCCGTGTCCATTGAACGTCCACGGTACACGTACGAGGTGGTCTTTGTAATCAGAGAACCACTGAGTTCTATTTGATCGCCTTCGCACTATGGGTTCTCATTCTGTTTACCATATTGAGATGACGATGCAGACACCGAAACTTTTCGTTTGCAAAACGAAAGTTCTGTTATAAGCTGAACTAAATGCTGTTGTTCTCGCGAGGTACCTTCGATCGCCAAACCGCACAGATCTTCTCTAATGACCTAATATTTGCTCTAGATACACATGCATGATATTAAGGTATCACTGAGGAAGATGCTCTGAAGAGTTTTCGTTCTAATCGAGTTCTGATTACCTTCCGTTCTCTTCGTTCGTTGCTTCATTCATTGTTATGTGCAGGTTTCTATGTCGTTGGTATGAAACACTGGCAATTGCTACTGCTACTAATTGAAATATGAAATATTAAAAAACATAGTGTAAGTAGCTGACATTGAAATTTTGTCCACTTAGTTCCGCAACGCCTTTAGTACCCCCTGATCACTTACCAAATGGTAATGACTTGATGCAGACGAGATGATGCATATCACATCCGAAACAAACAATGAGAGAATATGGCATAATTGTACTTCGTCTTTGACCATGCGCAGCTATGCATTCTCATGCATCGGAACAAACACCTTTTTCTGAAGTACCAAATCTAAACTGTTTGAAGCGGTTACGCAGTTAGCGCATTCATACGTAGCAAACCAAATTACAGCACCTCAATTTGTCGCTTCAGTGTTGTTTTAATTACTATTTAAGAATCATAGTATAACTATTTATAACAAGAACGGAAATAAGAGAAGTCGGCGGCAACAGAAAAGTGCGGAGTAACTGAACCCCAAGTCGTGGAAAATTTCGTTATCATCAACCACAGGCGTGTGCTACAACGGTCATGTGCGTTACGAAACGAAGAACGACACTGTACTAGATCTACTAGGTTCGCCTTGTTTTGAATGCCGTACTATAAGTCGCCTTCTCATTCGGTCTCAAAACTTGTTTTGTTATATCATAATAATCATGACTAAGCGACTCATCATAAAACGGCCGAAAACCTCGATGACCTGATGAGCTATGGTCTCACAGCCGTACCCCTCCAGAAGTACCAGCTCTCACGATCTCTAGTCCTCCTTCCAAAGCATAAGAATGGGAGAGTTTGGTGGGTGTTCAGATCGTTTAACCATGTCGACATAACCATGTTTTTGTTTATCAATGGTACGAACATGATGTTTCCGAAAGTTCTGTGGTCCTAATAGTTGGTTTTCTGTAATGGTTTTTATTTGTATTAGTAAAACTTACAATGAGCTGAAATATGTGCATTTGAAGTTGATGTTAAAACCAGAATTTCATTGATTTCCTGGATAAATTAACACTGTTACTAATGCTTCTTAATATTGTTGTATGAATTTTTGACAAATTCGTGACTATATCTACTGATTTCAATGATACGTGGTAGTTAATTTGTCCGAAAACTCTAAAAAATCAAATCTTAGCATTTTTCGCCGCGCGCCAACTCGTGCGGTCTGTTGTATCCCTTCTCACTAAAAAAAGGCAATGAGTCGTCATTTGTATTATCCATAACCTATCAGAGACATCTTCATATAAATACACTGATTATTCATGTAAGTGGTAAACGAAAGGCAGGATCGAAAGTATTACATCTTAGTACCCTTCTCATCTGCCGCAAATTCAGTGGCGAAGCAGACAAACTGGTCGCAATGAGTCTTTTTTATGTAAACTTTGATCTCCAGAGAAAAGCTTTACTCGGTCAACATCTCACATATACTTACTTGCTTGATACTTGAACGGCCCATTCTCACTGGTTGTGCGGGCCCCAGCACAATCTCCATTTTCTAGAGATTTGCTGGTTAAGCCATTGTTGTTCCCTGGAGTTCCGAGGTCAGTCTGGCCAAAATCTGTCCCAGGTCCTCACTACCACAGATAGTCGCAGTCCTTGTGGATCGGAGGGAGATTTGCCACCATGCGACTTTGATACCAGGACGGTGGATTCTGGCACTGGTTTACTCTCAGCTAGGCTTCCTAATGGAAACGCCAGATTCCTCAACTTGGGAGACCCTGCCAGGGAATGAATTCCCCGCTGTACACCGCAGTCCGACACCCAGGATCACCTCTCAGCCACGATGAGGCGGTAAAGCGTTGGGACGATCTCACATATAATACATTCAGAAATAAAATCTGCTGAAA